CATCAGCAGGTCACAAGTATGCCTGGCATTCGCCGGAAACAATGTTGACTCGAAAGTGGGTATTTTAGGAAACGTGCAACAGAAAACATTGCAAGTGGTGTACGATGGCCCCAATGAAAGGGTGGGGTTCGCGGCCGGCGGATGTAGCTGAGGAAATTCCGATAAACGAAGAGAATCTTCGAGTTAGTGCCCTTGCATCTTGATAATAATAACAAAAAACTGCTTTGGATCAAAGTTGTGATGTATATGAATAAGATCTGCTTGGTTTCTTTCTTGCAAGTTCCAAACTTAAAATTCGCTCCCATTATTTAAAATAATTATTATTTTTTAACATTTTTTGGAATTAAAAATTTAGGAATAATAATTATATCTATTTATAATATCTAAAAAATAATAATTAAAAATTTGAGATTTTAAATTAAAAATATTCGATTCAGATTTTAATCAAGTGGAGAGAATTTGAAAAAAAAAAGATTATCTCTTCTTATTTAATCTATTATTATTATTTGATGTATCAAAATAATAACTCTAAAATAGAAGTAAAAGATAAAAAGAGATTTTTTATAATTAGATAATTAATTAAAGTAAATAGATAATAATAATACGGTTAAAGTAAGAAAAACATTTTTTATCTTAAAAAATACTTTAAAAAAATTTAAAATAAAAAAAGACAATTATTTATAGTTATTTTCAGACGGGGAAATTAAAATATATGAAATCCATTTTCATAGAATCATAGGTTGTCTGAATTTCGAATCATCTTTTTGAGATGAATTAGTGTTCAAGTTTTAGAATTTAGGGTCTCCCATTGAGGGTTAATACATATGACTTTGTTTAATATTAGGATTGAAACTATTTTTATTTTTTAAATTATAATTACTTTATATAATAAGATAACTTTTTTAAAAAATCCATTTCATCAATATCAAATTTTAAATTTAAAAATTTTTAAATAAATATTAACATTTTTAACTGCTGTAACGTTTCTTGAAATATTCTATACAGTAATAGTTATAATAATTTGTTACAAAAAATCAAAACACATGAAACGAAACTAATCCAAGTTTTTTCGTTTGGCAACACCATAAGTTAAAGCTCCTAAACTATAACCCCAGAATCGCTATTAAGCCCCTAAATTTTAATTAATGCATATAAACCCTTGAACTCTGCTATCAAAGCAATTAAGCCCTTCTTCTCACGCCAACTTAGCTGCCGTTTGGACTTGCTCGTATGGCTTAACTGCCGTTTATGCTTGGCTGCTTGGATGGCAAAATATTGCCGTGTCATGCTTATATGGCAAAGGAATTAATATTTGAGTGAGATTTTTGACTTATTTGATCATTTAATTTTTTGAATTAAGTAAAGTCTAAAAAAAAATAAAGTCATACATTTGGGTAAAAATATTATTTAAATAAAATCTTAAATTTAAATATTTAATAAATCGAGTAATAGATATTAAAAAAATTTTAGTTTTGACTTTAAAAAATAATTAGGGTACCAA